CAGCTTCTCTTAGTGTTATCTGGATGTCATTCCTAAACTGAAAGTGCTTCCTATATGATGGGTATCCCTTTTTGAATAATTATGCATTATTAACACCATACGTATGAAAATAATGTCCTTGCAGTTCCAACTTTCCACTCACTGGCCAATCATATTATGCCCACATTTTGGCCTTTAGTTCAGTATATAGCCCAGGTTGGGCTCAAATGCACTGAGATCTCCTGCCTCCACCTATTAAGTTGCTGAATTACAGGTGTGGACCAAGATTTATGGATGTACTTAAGAAAATACAATGGAAATATATTGTGATGTTACTGTGGCTAAAAAATATTTTTGGTTAAGGCCCCCAAAGTACAAAAAACAAAAGTGCAGAGAGACTGACAGTATTACATCAACCTAAAGAGCTCTTTCTAGCAATACAAATAACAGCTTGAAATAACAGCTAATACATTTGCAATTTTGTATCAGCCAGTGGATTTGTGTGAGTGTATATAACAAACTGAAAAACTCAACATATAAAAGAAATCCAATAAATTCAGAAAAAACATCTTAATGAATCTGACAAGGTGTTTTTATGAGAGTATATAAAGGACTCAACAAAATAACATAAAAGGTAATAATGAATAAAAGGCAACTATCTTAAAAGATATTTGTCAAAAGAGAACTATAAAAACGGAAGCAGGTGTTTAAAAAAGTACTCAACATCAGTCATCTTCAGAGAAAATAAACTAAATGATATACTAGGAGTTACCATAGATAACTGAGTTATCATGTCAACCTAGATTGAGTTTCATGAAAACCCAAAGACACAGATTTCTCAAAAGGTGCATCCCAGTGGAGAACAGATACATGAGAATATTTGCATCATCACAAATTATCAAGAAAATACCAATTACTATTATGATATAATAACACATAATATCTGAGAAATGTATGTGACAAGTGTTACTGCACTAATCATTCTTTAAAAATATTTATGTAAAAACACAGCTATGGGAGTGAAAGACAAGGCACAGATTCAGAAATCATATATGATAATTGCATAATTGTGAGAGGATTTGTAGCAAAACTTATGAAGGCCTTGTAAGACATAATGAAAATATTTTAAAATGCAATAGGCACACAAATCAAAGAAGTTATCTGAGGGTACTTGACATATATGTTTGTATGGGTTCAAGGAAAATATATATTTATATAATCATGAGATATCAATCATTTAGAAAGGCCAAGAACAAAATGTCAATGCAAAAATCCTGAGGAAGTTAAGAAGAACAGGACTTATTCCCTGCTGAATGAAATGCAGAAAGGCCCCTCCCCTGGGGAAGACTCTTGGGGAATTTCTAATGGAGGTGAAGATAGCCATGGTGGGAATCATCTGAGAGGTTCACTCAACTGAGCTAAAAATCCGTGTTCTCATATACTGCCTGAGGATGCTTCCATCAGCTTCATCCCCTTCAGCTCTCCTGCTGGGTGAGTACTGACTGCAGGCACAGCTGGACATCTGGAGCATGTTGGGAAAGATGAATCAGCACTGGCAATATCAGCAGCAGCCACCTGTGCAGCAGAGAACACAGAGATTCCTCGGGGAGAGCCCAAGAGGCAACACAGCCACCTGGACTTCGCACTGGTGCTCAGCTGTGAGGGCTCCTCCTGCCAGAGCCTCCGATCCTTGCCTGTCAGCAGGGCTCCCTTGTACTCCAGGGTCCATCAGTTCTACTCTTGATAGTCACCCAAATGAGTGTGACACACATGATAATGTAGTGGGGATGGATCATTAAACATTTGTGCAAAAACACAATGCACAACAGCAAGGAGTGAACACATGTGAGAGCAAAGACGTGGGAGATGATGCTGTGTCACTCACACTCCCACACGGGAACACAGAGCTGGACTGGAGGGTGCTGCTGGTGGGACAGATGGGGCAGAGATTAAAGGGAAACCTCTCTACTTCCTCCTTAACATTTTGGGAACATGTACCTGCACTATTTGTAAATCCTGCTGAACAGAAATAGCTGAGACATTCCAGGAGACATTCTTGCCAGTTTTCACAAATTAAACAGAACATTGTTCTATGGGAGAAGAACTTTCTTTCTAATTATTTTTTCAATTGACTTGAAATATATATCTACACAAAAACCCTCCTTGTGTTGCTTGTGACAAACTAGTTGTAAGCTTTCTCTACTTCCTGTATTTGGTGTGTGGCCTGACTGTGGTGTGGACATTTCTCCACAAAATTAGAGTGCATACACATTTCTATCATTCCTAGCCTGAATTATCTCACCCAAGACCTAAATCTTCAGCTTCAGCATCCCTGTGCTCTCAACCCTAAGGCAGCTGCTCCTCCCTCAGGGTTTCTGACACAGTCAGGATGTGGTTCACCACACTGTGTCTCGCACAGTAATACACGGCCGTGTCCTCAGTCCTCAGACTGTTCAGCTCCATGTAGGCTGTGCTGGAGAGTGTGTCTCTGGTGAGGGTGACCCTGCCCTGAAACTTCTGCTCATATATTGTATCACCATTGTAAGGGTTGAGCCTTCCGATCCACTCCAGCCCCTGTCCAGGGCCCTGCCGCACCCAGTGCATGAAGTACTCTGTGAAGGTGTAGCCAGATGCCTTGCAGGAGACCTTCACTGAGGCCCCGGGCCTCCTCAGCTCAGCTCCAGACTGCACCAGCTGCACCTGGCCATGGGCACCTGTGGAGAGAAGACAGAAGTTGGAGGCTGTGCCCCCTGACAGGCTCTGGTCCAATCCTCAGGGCTAGGACTGGGGATGGCCTTACTTTTCACAGCTGCCACCAAGAGGAGGATTCTCCAGGTCCAATCCATGGTGAGGAGCTGTGCTCTTGGGAACTCTGCAGAAGAGGGTGATGGCTGTGGGATGCTCTGGGGCAAAGACATGGCCATATTTACCTGAGCAGACTTGAGTTATTTGCATAATCATGAGGTAGGAAATTCTTAGCTCTGGACCTGATCCAGCCTGAGAAGGAGGAAGTAGTTGGACTTGGGCCATGCAGCAGTGAGGTGCTGGGGTGCACGTCCTTGTCCTGTGTGAGGAAATGCATCTCCTGCCACTTCCTTAAATCCTGTTCATACAGATCTCATTTTTCTGAGAATCAAGCCACCACATGAAGTCTCTGCTATGTGAACCCAACTTTGCAGGGACTCTGAAGCACATAAGACTCTTCCTGGCCATCTGTGTGCTGGATGCTAAGCAGGAGCACTGACCTCTGCCTTCTTCTCTCAGGTATTACCAAAACTCAGTGTTGACTCTGAGAGAGGGATGCTGTCCATCTCACATCAGTACTCAGATTGAACCAAGGACATCTCTGATATCAGCCAGACTTCCTGCGGTGGTTTCTCCAGCACCTGTGAGGGTTGATGGTGTCCCATCTGTGGCAGGAAGACTCTTGGTCCTCAAGCCATCACTATGATGTGTGACCTTGGACTGTGTTTCTGATCCCGTCAAGGATGAGACTTGAGTGTGAATCTTCATAATTCAGTTTCCAAAATCTTGCCTAAGCATTTGTTGATTTTATTTGTGCCTCACTGACAGTGAGGGGTTTGTCCCATTTTCTCTTGACATCTGCTCCTTTCTGGGGAACAGGGCATTTCCTTTCATTCATTTTTCCTGTAGACTATTCTGACTCCTAAAATCCATACTGAGAAGAAGGTTGTTGGGTCTTTAGTTAGGAAAATTCTCTTTCCCACAAAGGACCAGTGTGTGGAAAAGTCCTTCTCTGCATGTTTGACTGGACAAAGGTGTGGGTTCTTTCTAAGTGGCCAATCTTCCCTTCTCCAATTCAGAGCCTGGAGGGATCTATTTGGACCCTCACCTTGAGCTGCTTGAGGGTGCTGGAGGTAACGTGTGTGGTGTTTGCCCCTAGCAGCTCTCATTATCCACTTAGTCCTCTTAGATCCTTCAGTCTTTAATCCCCATCAGTGCCCCCTCTGTTGTGTCCTCTGAACTCCTTCTGTGCCAGGAGCTAGGGCTTGCTTATTCTCTCTTCTAGTTTCTTTGCGTTCATTCAACCTGACATTTCAGGGTGAATTATCTGGAGTTCAACAGGCAATGTAGTCCTTCTGTGTATTTGAATCTGGCCTTTACTGGCTGCCCTCCTATCAGCATTCGCATCATTTGATCTCTGGCCAAGTTCACCTTACAGAACTCCAGGACTGTGGCTTCAGCAGGCATCTGAAAACTTCAGAAATCTTCTTGCCAGTCAGCTCCAAAGGGATATACTCAGATACAGTCACAACCACTACCCCACTCTTGGTAAAAAAGAAATGTTTTGGTTACTTTCTAGTTGTGGGACAAAACACCCAAAACCCAGAAGTTAAAGGAGGAGAGGTTTATTTACCTCACAATTTGTAAGTGTTTCAGTCCATAGTGTGTTGGATCCAGTGCAGGGCATCGTGATCAACAGGCATGGCAGAAGAAATGCTTTTCATGCTAGGACAGGAAGGTTGCCTTAAGCTTGGCTTTCACTTTTCCAGTTATATTCTATCAAGGCTACAAGCCCATTGATTGGTGGCACCCACAGCCATGGTGGTGCTGCCATTTTACATGCCCAGAACTATGCTGAACCCATTTAATTAGCACACACCCTTAATCCATACTCACGTACCCTAAGCCCATGTACCTCTATAAAGGCCCACTTACAAGGGCATGAGGCTTTGGAAGGACATATAGGTACAAGCAGGGAGAGAAAGAGAGACAGACGGACACACACACACACACACACACACACACACACAGAACAAAATATCCCAAAGGTAGACTATTACCCTTGTGTTTTATAAATCCCTATTTATAAGCTCCATAGAGAAAATGTGGTCCTACTTCTGTTCAGCCACGGTGAATAGAAAGAGTTCACTGAGGCCCTTGAGCACTGCCCTGAGTCCAGGCAGGCTGCCCTATTTCCTTCTTCCCGGAGCACAGTGCTCTGTGTGGCGCTGGTGCCGATCCTGTGAACAAGATGTCCTGAAATGGCCTACAGACGAGGGAGCTGTGTGTTCTCAGATGCAGTAAAGAGAGAGATGAAAGATTTCATTCTCTAATCTGAAGCATTTATTTCTGCATGAGATATTTCCTTGTCATCAAGACAAAATTAGGAAATCTGTAATTATTAATAAGCTATTGGATATTTCAGTACACAGATAGAAAAATAGAAATATGTTTGGTACATAGCAGCAAGAGAAACTTCTGAATATAGAAATAAAGAGCATGGTGAATAGAAGGAAAAGAAGAAAAAGGAAGTAGAGAGAATTTCAAATAATTCTCCAAATGCTATATTCTATTGCCTCAAAAATTTTCATCATGTGTGCGAATTTCTTTCCTTTGTACCACTGACTTCTCTTAATTTATTGAAAATAATGTTGTCTGCTATTATCTATTTGTGTCCTTTTGTGAGGGAAAGGCTTTTTGTCTATCAATTGGACTCTCTAAATAAAACTTGTGCATTTCTTTTAAGAATGTGGTTTGCCATGTATTAAATAGGGGTATTCTCTAAATATTTTGTGATGAAATTTTGTGTTACTTTTTCATAGAAATGAAAAGAATGCTTTTTATGTTTTCTTTATTAATATCTACATGTATTACATTAAAAGATAAAGAAAAATACAGAGTGAATTTAAATGTACCCTCACTTTTAGAAATATGAAATATATCCAATAAATGGACTAATTTAATTTCCTTTCAAAATAGAGAACTGTCATTAATAGAAATACAAGGGACAGAAAGTAGTATAAAATTCAATGTTTCAAGCCAAGCATGGTGGCACATACCTGCAATCCTAGCACTAGAGAGGCTGAATCAGGAGGATCTTTGCAAGTTTGAGGTCAGTCTAAGCTGCAAAATCAAATCAAGACTGGCCTGAACTGCATAGCATGACCCTGTCTCAAAAAGACAAAAAAAATAAAAAATCAATGTTTCATGCTGCATTTTCTTCCACATTTGATGAGTAATATATTTAATATGGAAATCAACATTCCTTCCAGACGTGGTGCCTCATGACTGAATACAGAGCTCTTCGAGGGTGAGATGGGAGGACGGGACGGCTGAGCCCTGCCTGGGGAACTTCGCAATTTTATGAGACTGCATCAAAATTTTAAAAAAATTTAAAGTGGCCTGGGGCTGTACTTCTGTGGAAAGTCTATGGGTTCAAGCATAGGCACGTCAAACAAAGCCACACACAAAAAGTAATTTTTAACATAACTTTCTCAACCGCTTTAATTATATGCAAAGCTACAAAGACATCGGTAATGTACATTTAACAAGAACAACAAAAGCTGACACACAGATAAGATAGCAGAGGATTTCCATACTTTGGGTTTTGTTTCTTTCTAGGATTCCTCCCACACTGGGTTAGAAACACAGGAGTCATCCCAGCCACACCTTACAATCACACACATGTCCTGTGGTTTCCAAGGCTCCAGCTCACCTCACAGCAGATAGACTTCAGATTTAGCCCCCATGGCTGATCTTGAGTGGAGTGAGGCCAGGCGCGGACAGAGCTGAGCTCCAGCTTCCATAGCTCATGCAGACTCTGAACACCTGCCATGTCCTGTGTCATTGTGAAGGTGCCCCATCCTCTCCCAGGACCATGATCTTGAAACCCACTGTCCACTGCCAAGTATGGCCTGCATGGGAGGTAGGCACCTCTGTCTTTGAAAAACTGTGGTTGGTGTGTGTGCGTGTGTGTGTGTTATGTACCTGTGCGCTGTATGTGTGTATGTGTGTATGTTTGAGCATATGTGTCTTGAGACTGCAGTACTGAAGGGCCAATTCTGAGGAGTCTGGCTTTTCCACAATCTCTTCAGTACCTGCCCCTGTCTGTAACTTTTATCCCAGCCATACGTATTGACACAACGTGCATAAAATTGAAATTATTTTGCTACGCAGTTGAACATAGATACAACTAATCACTCTCTATTTTTTGAGGGATATGAAAAAATTTTAAGGAATGGCAAATCCATAAAGACAAAAATAGATTTGTCCTCACTTCGACTATGAGAGAGAGGGAAGAGCAAAAAAAAATTGATAGCTAAAAAAGTATGGTTTTCCTTTGGCAATTTAGAGAAATGATTTATAATGATATTGTATTAATACTTGTACATTTTTTATTGGAATGTACCGATCGATAATGGGCATTTTACTTTTAATTGGTAAGATTATTGATGTCTGAAATGTTAAAATAAATTTGTTAAAAATTCAGCAGATTTAATGATAGTGTTACAAATAATATAAATATTATGCATAAGTGTTAGCTACCGTGAAAAAGACGCGATAAGAAAGATACAGAGCCCGTTATTATTTCATATAAATAAAGGGAGGGAAATGGCTCAGCAGGGGTCGAACAGCAAGGACAGCGCAGGTAAAGCCTCCCCAGCACCTGCTCCTGTTTGGGACCTGGAAGGTCAGGATCCTGTGCATCCTGATCATGCCGAGGGCTCCATTGCGGTCCTCAGCTCCCTGAGCAGCCCTGGGCTGTCCTGCGTGCGCATGGCCTGCTGGTCCTGATCACCCAAGAAATCAGGTTTGTGTCTGCTCAGACTGACTGCTTTTCACTTTGGGCTCCAAATTCGTATCTGACTTTTACCAGATTCTCTGAGAATCCAAAGGATCTGGTTGTGATGACCACAGCAGAATCATTTTTAGCTCAAGTGTTAAATTGAGTTTTGCATCGCTGAGAATGTGTTCTTCTATGCAAACAAGTGTGTCTAATGACAGACGTCAGCGGTAACGTCGGACTTATGAAATCAGCGTATCTAGGAGCAAGTATTATGTTGGAAAGACGTCTCAGAGCCTAAGAGGAAAATAACTTTCATCTCCCTGTAAATCTACTCTTGGTTCTTCTGCAGCCCCAACACCCCCTGCTGGTTGTGAACGCCCCTGCAGGCAGGTTTGTGTCTAGGCTCAAACCTATATCCCCTCACTGTGTCTCTGGTACAGTAATACACGGCTGCGTCCTCGGTTTTCAGTTGGATCACTTGCAGATACATTGTACTTTTGGAGTCATCCCTGGAGATGGTGAATCTGCCTTTCACTGACGTAGCGTAGTCTGTTGTGTGACTATTAGCTTTGTTTCTAATAACACCAACCCACTCCGGGTTCTTCCCTGGAGCCTGGCGGACCCAGTGCATCCAGTAGCTACTGAAGGTGAATCCAGAGGCTGCACAGGAGAGTCTCAGCGACCCGCCAGGCTGCGCCAAGCCTCCCCCGGACTCCACCAGCTGCACTTCACACTGGACACCTGCAAACACAGAGAAGCCTTGCTCAGAAACTGTCACACAGGTCCATTGATTATTTCATTCATCTCCCCTCTCAGGATCTCTTGTTCAACATAATCACCTTTTAAAA